TGACACTGTCTAACCATCCCATCCTTTGCCGTCCCCGCCTTCTTTGACCTTCAATCTTTCCCAGCATCAGGGTCTTCTCCAGTGAGTGCTCCCTTCTCATTTGGTAGCCAAAGTATTTGAGCTTCAGTTTCATTATCTGGCCATCCAGGGAACAGTCAGGGTTGATTTCTTTTAGGATTGACTGATTTGATCTTCTTGCAGTCCAAGGGACTCTCAAGAGTCTTCTCCAGCACCATAGTTCAAAAGAATCTATTCTTCGGCGCTCGGCCTTCCTTATAGTCCAACTCTCGCAGCCATACATGACTACTGAAAGACTATTGAAAGAGGTAGTCAATCTTTAAAGGTACAATTGTGGTCTTAGGGTACTGTCTCAGTGATGATCTGGTTCTTATAGATCCACATGGGTCAATGCAGCTTCCTTATAGTCCAGCTCTTGCAGCCATACATGACTACTGGGAATACCATTGCTTTGACCATGCAGATTATTGTTGGCAGGGTGATGTCTCTACTTTTTATCATGTTGTTTAGGTTCTCCATCACTTTCCTCCCAAGGAGCAGGCGTCTTTTAATTTCATGGCTGCAGTCACAGTCTGCGGTGATCTGGGATCCCAGGAACGTGAAGTCTGTCACTACTTCCACGACTTCCCCTTCTATTTGCCAAGGAGTGATGGGGCCGGATGCCATGATCTTAGTTTTTTTGATGTTGAGCTTCAAGCCCACTTTTGCGCTCTCCTCTTTTACCCTGAGCAAGAGGCTCTTTAGGTCCTCTTCACTTTCTGCCATTAGAGTGGTATCGTCTGCATATCTGAGGTTGTTGATCTTTTCCCCAGCAATCTTAATTCCCGCTTGTGATTCATCCAGGCCAGCATTTCGCATGATGTACTCTGCATATATATTAAATAAGCAAGGTGACAGTATACATCCTTGTCGTACTCCTTTTCCTATGCTGAACCAATCAGTTGTTCCGTATCCGGTTCTAACTGTCGCTTCTTGGCCCTTATACAGGTTTCTCAAGAGACATGTGAGGTGGTCTGGTACTCCCATCTCTTTAAGGACCTGCCATAGTTTGTTGTGATCCACACAGTCAAAGGCTTTAGCATAGTCAATGAAGCAGAAGTAGATATTTTTCTGGTACTCTCTTGCTTTCTCCATAATCCAGCGAATGTTGGCAATATGATCTCTCGTTCCTCTACCTCTTCGAAACCCAGCTTGTACTTCTGGCAGTTCTCTATCCATGTACTGTTGAAGCCTAGCTTGTAGGATCTTGAGCATGACCTTGCTAGCGTGTGATATGAGTGCAATTGTGCGATAGTTTGAACATTCTTTGGCATTGCCCTTCTTTGGGATTGGAATGTATACTGACCTTTTCCAATCCTGTGGCCACTGTTGCGTTTTCCAAATTTGCTGGCAAATTGAGTGCAGCACTTTAACAGCATCATCTTTTAAGACTTGGAATAGTTCAGCTGGGATACCATCACCTCCACTAGCTTTGTTGTTAGTAATGCTTTCTAAGGCCCATTTAACTTCACATTCCAGGATGTCTGGCTCGAGGTCAGTGATTATACCGTCGTGGTTGTCAAGGACATCGAGGTCTTTCTTGTATAGTTCTTCTGTGTATTCTTGCCATCTTTTCCTAATCTCTTCTGCTTCTGTTAGGTCCCTACCGTTTTTGTCCTTTATCATGGCCAGCTTTGCATGGAACGTTCCCTTGATTTCTCCAATTTTCTTGAAGAGATCTCTAGTCCTTCCCATTCTATTGTTTTCCTCTATTACTTTGCATTGTTCATTCAGGAAGGCCTCCTTATCTCTCCTTGCTGTTCTCTGGAAATCTGCATTCAGTTGGTTTAAGTGCGCAGACTCTAATCTGGGAGAACTGGGTTTGATTTCCCACTCCTCCACTTGCACCTGGCTGGATGACCTTGGGCAAGCCATAGTTCTGTCAGAACTGTCCTTGAAAGAGCAGTTCTCTCAGAGCTCTCTCAGCCCCACCTACCTCACAGGGTGTCTGTTGTGGGAGGGGAATAGGGTTGTAAACCGCTCTCTGACTAGGGTGGGGTATAAATCCAATCTCTTCTTAACAGAGTTCTCTCCTAAATCCATTGAAGTCAACAGGCTTGGAAGAGTATAAATATTGTACTTTATGTCACTCAGTTAGTGGGTGTGTATGCATGTGTGTGTCAAAGAGACAGAGAAAGACAGAAGAAGGGGTTGCAAGAACTTTCATTTTATATTACGCTGGGCTGGAGCACTGATTGCACTGCTGTCCAGTAATCATGCTAAGGACTGCAAGCTTAGCTTGCATGACTGTAACAGGCCTCATATTTAGCCTTTTGCCCAGTACAAAATATGTATGGTTACAAAAAATTGCTAGTCATTTAGGCATATTTAGATTCATCAAAAGAATATAAGCGTTTTTAGGATTTAAAAATATGTAATAAAATTACCATATCATGACCCAACCAGACATCAGGAATCTTCCAGTTGCCAGGCCTAAACATTAAAGAAAAACACCCTATCATGGTTTTGAAGAAAGAACATTCCTTTCTTGTAAGTTTTAAAAAAGGGCGGTGGGAGAAGAAGAGAATCTAGAGGAAAATTCTCTCTGTATTTTCACTTATATGCCTGTTGCCTAAGGACTGCAAGCTTAGCTTGCATGACTGTAACAGGCCTCATATTTAGCCTTTTGCCCAGTACAAAATATGGTTACAAAAATTTGCTAGTCATTTAGGCATATTTAGATTCATCAAAAGAATATAAGCGTTTTTAGGATTTAAAAATATGTAATAAAATTACCATATCATGACCCAACCAGACATCAGGAATCTTCCAGTTGCCAGGCCTAAACATTAAAGAAAAACACCCTATCATGGTTTTGAAGAAAGAACATTCCTTTCTTGTAAGTTTTAAAAAAGGGCGGTGGGAGAAGAAGAGAATCTAGAGGAAAATTCTCTCTGTATTTTCACTTATATGCCTGTTGCAGCTGTTATTTATGATTGGGGTGTGTGTAGCTGCTGGGACGAAAATCATCAGCGGGCAAATTTATAGTAGGTTTGAGTAACAGCGAGTCAAATAGAGACGGTTGGAGATATAATTATCATTTGTTGTAAAAGCACGATGTTTTTTTTAAAAATTTTTTTAAAGAGTTTCAACACCCACACACACACGCTTCCTCAGAAGTAAATCCCACTACGTCTCAGTGAGACATCTCAAAGAGCGCGCTCCCCTCCGCCGCCTTTTTAGAGTTCTGTTTTCGCCCTCTTTTCCGACCCAATTTCGCCCTCTTGCGTGTCTGTTTTCGCCCTCTTTTCCGACCCAATCCTAACCCCGAAAGAACCGCCAGCGGCATGAATTTGTCCTCGGCCGCCTTTTCTCCTCACGCTCGGTGGAAGAAGCGAATCTAGAGGAAAATTATCTCTGTATTTTCACTTATATGCCTGTTGCAGCTGTTATTTATGATGGGGGGGGTGTAGCTGCTGTGACGAAAATCATCAGCGGGCAAATTTATAGCAGGTTTGAGCAACAGCGAGTCAAATAACGGGAGAAGGTTGGAGATATAATTATCATTTGTTGTAAAACCACGATGTTTTAAAATACTTTTTTTAAAAAGACTTCGTTTCAACACCCCCCCCCACAGACGTTTCCTCAGAAGTAAATCTCACTACGTTTCAGTGAGACATCCTCCCAAAACAAAGAGCGCCTTTTTAGAGTTCGTGCGTGTCTATTTCGCCCTCTTTTCCGACCCAATCCTAACCCCGAAAGAACTGCCAGCGGCATGAATTTGTCCTCGGCCGCCTTTTCTCCTCACGCTCCAAGGAAGCGGCGGCAGCAGCGGCGGCGGCTCCTCCCGAGGCGAACGCCAGAGGGCAGGCGGGGTCCCCTGAAGCCGCCCCAAAGAAAAGCGCTCGGCCCGGCCGCCCGCCCCTGGCCCCATCGATGGGGGCGGCAACTCTGCGCTCTGCTCCGAGGCCCTTCCTCTCGGCTCTGGATTAGCGAAACTGGCGACGTGGGACGGTCCGTCCCCCCCTCCACCCCGGAGCCCCGCCAGGCGAGGTGAAGCGGGGACTTGGGCCGCCGGTGCCCGCCTGATTGCCGAAGAGGAAGACGG